CTGGCGTAGCACTGCCCTGCCGGGCTGCAGCGAGGAGGAGGAGGAGGAGGAAGGAGGGGTGATGTAGCCCTTGGAGGTTGGTACTGGAGTGGGAGCAGAGCTGAGTGCCCGGCTGGAGCCCCCCAGTGCCAGCACCCTGCTCCTGGATGGAGGACCCTGCGGCGACACACGGGGAGGGGACAAGGAGGGGAGAAATCGGGGGGTGAGTGAGGAGCAGGGGGGAAGCAAGGAATGGGTGGGGAGCAACGGGGGGTTGGAGTGACCTCCCAGCCTGCTCTGCCCTCCCCAGCCTGCTTGGAGGCCTCCCAGGCAGCCTGAAGCTGGCAGCACTTGGGGTGCTGCACCCCCAGTCTGTCACCCCCCTCACCTGCCCCCCCCTCTCTGTCTCTGAGCAGGTTTGGATGCCTCTGCTCAAACCACCTCCCATGAACTCACCATTCCAAACGATGTGAGTATCCCAGGGGCATCGGAGGGTGGAGGCATCATGGGCAGACAGCTGCCCCTTGGCCCTGGGGGTCCCCAGGATCTGCCCCTCTTAACAAAAGGAGTGTGGGGGGCCCGTTCTCAGCTTTAAAGCTGCATCGGGCTTGTGGCTGCCCCCCAAAGTGCCACCTTGGGCCACTCTGGCTGTCACCACATCCCTTATCCACCTTCCAGTGAGCTTGAAGGCAGAAAACCCCTTTTTCAGCCCCTTAAACTCCCTCTTCCAACTCCTCAACCCTGTCCTCCCCCCCACACACCAAGTAATCATCCAATCATGAGATTGTTAAGGTTGGAAAAGGCCTCTCAGGCCACCAAGTCCAACTGTTCCCCCAGCAGCATCAAGGCCACCACTGAACCGTGTCCCCAAGGGCCACATCCACGTGATTTGGGACACCTCCAGGGACAGTGACCCCCCCACTGCCTTGAGCAGCCTGGGGCAGGAGCTGCACAATTCCCACGAAGGAATTTTCTCCAGTACCCAACCCTAGGACAGAGGTGTCAGGCGGGGGGGTGAGGAGGATGAGGGTTAATTAATTAATTAATTAATTAATTAACTAACACGGCTGCTGCCTCCCCTCAGCTGATTGGCTGCATCATCGGGCGTCAGGGCGCCAAGATCAACGAGATCCGCCAGATGTCCGGGGCGCAGATCAAGATTGCCAACCCCGTGGAAGGATCTACTGACCGGCAGGTGACCATAACTGGATCTGCAGCGAGCATCAGCCTGGCCCAGTATCTAATTAATGTCAGGTGAGTCCCCGCTGACGAGGTTCCGGGGGTTCCCAGGCTCCCCCTCCCTGTGCCCCGCATGAGGGGAAGGGGTTTTCTCCCTCCCACCCCGTGTTTTCCCCTGTTTCCTTTCCCCCTTCCCTGTGCCTGCTGCCCCAGTTTCCCCACTGCGATCGCCTCCGGGGCTGTGAGACGCTGCAGGGTGATGGATTTGGCTGGAAAAGCTCCGGCCGTGGGGCTGGGGGGAGTCTGTGGCTGCAGAAGGAGCCTCTTGGTGGTCTCTGCTGTTCCACTGCAGTGCTGAGGGGTGACAGGAGGGGCTCCCTGACCCTGCTCCTGGGGATCCCGAGCATCCCAGGGGGATGCTGTCATCCCAGAGAGTGGCTGGTGCTGCTGGCAGGGCCTGGCTCTGCTCTGGTGCCGTGGGTAGCAGTGGCAGGGCCTGGTGTCAGACCACCCATGTCCCTGTGTCCCGTGTTCCCTGCCCTGAGCCAGGAGTTGCACTCTCCCTCCCCCAACTCCACATGCCCCAGAGGGGCTGGGGGTCCCTGGGGCCGTGTCCCTCATCTGGGGGTCCCTGGGGCCGTGTCCCTGCTCCATGGCAGAGCAGGAGCTGCCAGTGATTGTCTCTGGTTTTTGTCTCATTCCCTTCACGGTGCCCAGGGTGTGACCTCATGGCTGAACCAGGCTCATTCCCGGGGGTGGGCATGGGGGGTCCCATATGTGGCTCAGCCAGGCCTGGCAGTGCCACTCCCCTCCCCTCTC